CCGCAGCCCGGTGCAAGGCCCCCTCCCGAAGGTGGGGGGAATGGATTGGACTCCGGTGGGGAAAGCGGGTGTCTAGAAGTGGTGCTAATGGGAAGAGCTTGCTGCTTTCCAGAGAGGATGCTCAGCCACAAAGAGCGGCTCGCGCGCTGGCCTGGGCTCTAGCCGGGGCGAGATCCCGGGAGAACTCCGGAGCTCCGGGGGAGCGCTCCTCGGAAGACCGGGGTCACCATGCCTGTGCGCAGGGGGCACGTGGCACCACAAAACACATTTTTGGGGACCATCATACGGAAATTTGAAGGGCAAAGTAAGTTTATTTGTTCTCTTCTCTCTCTCCCTCGCTTTCTGCTTTTGATAGTGCACTTGGCGTCCGCCTCTTACAAGCGGTGGAAACGGGCAACTCCAGCCTCTGTCAAGTTAGACGCTAGGAGACCGAGCCAGCAGCTCCGGGTGGAAGCCGGCGTGTTCTCCCTCTGATATTAATTCTGATTTACATTTTAGATTATGGTCTCCATTATAGCAGGCAATTTGATCCCTCCTCTCCCACTGCTCTATTATCTGCCTTGCTACTTTATGTCCTACTATTCTACTATCTTAAAGGGAACGTGCTAGGCTTACCACGGTTTTAGATTTTAAGGTGTATTATTGTAGACTTTTTCAAAGTCAAGATCAGGGCAAAACATATTATACTACTGCAACAAGAGGATGTAAATGGTAGCAGCGATGTAAATGGTTATGCAAACTATATTTTACCTTGACTAAATTGCAGGGCTATGACATGATAGGGAAGCTTTGCTGACTCTTAGTTAGAGAAGCTAAACTTTGCATTAAATACACACAAATATACCCCAGGCAGGATAATTTGGGGGGAGAAAAACAACCAACAAAACAAACCGTAGCTGGTTGTTGCTAGTTCCCAGTGCAAACAGCTCATTAGTCAAAAGATTTATTTCTATCTTTTTTTATTATCCTCTTATAATTTCTATCCAGAAATTTAGAAATTGAAGTGTAATAAGGAAACCCCTCAAGACAAATGCAGAAAAAATGTAATGCTCTCATGTGGAATGAATTATCATTGTTATGTAAATAAATTAGTTTGACATCTTCTACTTGTGAATTTGTATTTGACCTTTTCTTCAAATTACACCAACACTTAATGTTGTATATTCTGCACTTGTCTAGTATTGTTTTAAAGGATGTGAAAATCTGGTAACTTATGTTAAATAAACTTGCCCATTATGCTTCACATTTTGTCTGGAAATAGTAAATAGATTCTTCAATAAAAATTAATAAATCTTATGCATTAAAATTTCTACTGTATAAAAATTCCAGGTTCTCTCAAAGTAAAAAGCTTTTAAAATTATATTTACTGTATATTTGTGTAAACTATGTAACATGTGAAGCTGAGTCTTTGCATTCTTGAACTCAGAATTTAAAGTAGTTTCAGTGCTAAAGCTAAGGAATATTTTAAAACAACCAAAACAACAAACACCAAACATAATGTATGTGAAATGCCTTGGAAAGATAGAGAAAAGCAAAATCTAAGGATAGTAGCTACTTTGAGAAAGTTATAGTCACAGGACCAAGGTTGAAGTGAGAAATCTGACAGCTACAGCATGTTTCAGTGTTTTGGCTTTGAAAATATTTATCTTGCAATAAAATGACATTCGGAAATATCAAAGACCCAGCTGTTTGTCCTGAGTGTGCAGTAGAACCCCTGGGAGTTACAGTGTTTGAGAACTAAACTGATAGATTATGTTATCATAATTTAGAGAGTGGTTCTTTAATACTTTTTATTAAAATCACTTAGGACTCTCAAATTCAAGTTTCTTCCCCACCCCCTTCTTTGAAAATATGGGCAGTTTGAAATTTTGGAAACACCAGTACCTTGTGTTATGCAATTGTTCCAATGTTTATGAGAACCTTGTAGAAGCTTTTCAGAAGATGACTTTCTATTTTCTTATTACAGATAAAAAATTTATCATTGCAAATGCTAGAGTGCAGAACTGTGCTATCATCTACTGCAACGATGGGTTCTGCGAGATGACTGGTTTCTCCAGGCCAGATGTCATGCAAAAGCCTTGTACCTGTGACTTTCTCCATGGACCTGAGACCAAAAGGCATGATATCGCCCAGATTGCCCAAGCATTGCTGGGGTCAGAGGAGAGGAAAGTGGAGGTTACCTACTATCACAAAAACGGTAAAGTTTATCTATTTAGAATTCTGTGTATTCAATTATTTGATTTCCACTGACATAAACTTTTGACAATTGAGTTCTGTGAAAGTGCCTGTGTAGAAAAGTCTCAACCATTTATATAGTGGATATTCAATTTGTTTAGTGTATTTAAGGGCCCAAGAAATTTGGGTACTTATATTAGTGGAATAGTAAGAACCACTTCTACTTTGAAAAAGGGGACTCTGTTTGAACTCTAAAAAAGTATAGTAATCTTATGTCAGTGAAGACAAAATGCCACAGTTCATGCTTATGTTCTCCTCTCTCAAAGGGATGATATAATGTCTGCTTGCTTTGATATCTGTTAGGAGAAAATAAAACACCAACAGTTTTATTTGTTTGAATTTGTAAACAGTCCACAAAGCAAGTCTTGTTGAAAACTGTCCACCTGAAACTAAAACTGTCTGCTTCCATCATAAGTTTTTCTTAGATATTCACCTTCAATAGTTGGGTACATATCTCTTGTTTCTTATGCCTTTTTAATGTAAGTTAGTTAGACATAAAGGGCTCCTGAAATTGACCTAATAAATTTATATATCATCAGATCAGATAAATATAAAATTGAATAAATTCAATATTAGTTCTAAAATTAGAATTGGAGAAGGTTAATAAGAGTTATTAGCTCCTACTCTTACAGCCACAGAAAAATTGTGGCTTCAAACTTTAAAGTCATAACTCATCTTCAAAGGCATTTTTTCATTCTTCCAGACTTGTTAGGGGAGTAGAAATTTATCAATACTAGAACAGTTTTCCCACAAATACACATTTAATGAGCATTCATGCACTGAATACATGGTGTAAACTCACGCATACTAGTTAAACTCCCATATATAAAATCTACAGATACAGGTATACTCAATTTTCCAAAGTTCACTTTATGCCCCTTCATGGAAGACCTGCATTAGTGCCTGTTTTTGCTAATAGAAGTAAATCTAAAGAGGATTTTCACTTTTTTTGTTTTCACAAAGAAAAAGTCAAGCTAGTGGTCAGTGTTTGTTCTGTAAAGCCATTAAAGCTGTAAAGTGTACTCCAGGTTGTGAGAAGAGCCTCCCCAAGCTCCTACCCTGAGAACTACACTCAACATCAGACTGCCATCACTTTGAACTGTTTGTGTTCGGTATGATTAGTCGTCTGGTATGACTTGGTAGTTGTTGGGTTTGGGTGTTTGTTTTTTTCTTTTCTAAGTATGGGAACACTAAAAATTGTTTTCAAGGGAAATTAATAGCAATTGACTTTTTGTGCCATTTGAGCTTAGAAAAGGCTTGGTATTAACATGCTACTTTTAGATATTGGAGTAAACTTGTATAATTATCTTAAGGTATGTGCATTCTCAAATGTGCGTATCTAGTGGAGTTTGACAGTTTAGACCTTAAAGGTAAATCAATTTTTTAAAAAAATTACACACTTTAATTGTGTTGACATTATTTCATCATCTGCTTCTTTCTTCTTGATTGACAGAAATTAGTAAGACAGTGTGGTAGCTTTTTGAAAACGCCAAAGGTTTTTATAAATGTGTGATATGCTATAGCCTAAATCATATAATGACTCATCATTTGGTAAACTACAGAGGGAAAAAATACAGCAGGGAAAGACTTTATTCTTCCTCTTATTTTCTTATGATCAGCTGTTTCAGGATAGAAACGCACAATACTTAAGAACTGGATTTTCCTTATCAGCTACCTGATTATGTTTGTGCCAAGTATTACTGAAAATAAACAGATTTGTTTACCTGAATATTAATTAGGAATAAAAAACAGTGTTATGATGATTAAACAACATAGAGAGTGTTCTTAAAGTTATTTTTTGTGTTTTTCCACTTTTCAGTTAGTAGTGTAGGCATACATACTAGAAATAGCCATATTGGTCTGTTGTCTTGGAAGCATTTCTTGGACCAAAACTCTCACTATCCAAATGCGACTCATCTCTTTTTTGTATCTAATGCCAACAATCCGGACTTCTAGAATAATTTGAATCTCTTATTTTTTCTCTCATCTGAGTATTTACATGTTTACACAGTCTGTATGTATACTGTAGGAAATGTTGGTACATGTTAGATCATTATTTGTCAAGGGGTCATGTAACAATTTTTTTCAACTCACGTAATTGCAGTCTAAAATTATCTAGGTTCTCCAAATCATGAAGTTCTGGCTGTATTGTGCAGACAGTGCTTCAGTAGAAGTTGCATTTATTACACTGCAAAATGAATGGCGATATTTTGAAAGCTGATTAAGTTGTCTACTCTCAGTGTCCAAAATTAATCTTAAAATGCCTAAAAAATAATTAAACAAAGAGTTTCAAACATAACCACACAAATATTTGTAGTTAACAGAGACGCTAGAACCCAGTAGGGTTCACAAATCCAAATTTTTCTGTCTGGGTAATTTGCTTGGTATGCAAATTAAAATTTTCCATTTTTAGGCAAAGGATTGGATTCTTATTTATAAGTTTATTTTGATATAGAAAAATCTACATTTAGAGACAACTTTATGACTGTTGGCTTTATTTCCAGGTATAACTTTTGTCTACAAGGACTTAGCTACCTTTAAAATTAATGCCAATCTGTTTAGTTAAAATTGATAGAGGAATCAGTGAGTAATAGACTAAGATTTTTCTCTTTTACCCAAGGGGGACAAAAAAAATCAATTTGACCTTTTTTAGATAATGAAGATACAATTTAATTTACTTGTTTTGAATATTACAAACTTGTGCTGAGTACAGGTACCTTTAGAATATATTAGTACTATTCACGTGACAATTGCACAATCAGCTAGAGTCTATGAAGTTCAAACATTTTGGAAATCTTACCTCTTAAAGACCTGCTAGTCACTTTGCATTTATAAAAGCAAAAAGGAGCCTGGGTGGTGGTGAAAAATCAACATTTTCCACTGGTTTGCTTTTCAAGGTTTCTTTTTTTCTTGATATTAGAAGTCATATGCTTTTAGGGTTTCTTAAGTGAATTCAGTAAATGCTTCCTTTATTTAGAATTTCATATGAATATGAAGAGTGATGGAATAAGCACAGAGAACAAATTAACAAAAAGTTGAAATGCTGTGTTCATATTTTTTTCCATTTGCTTATACTAGATTAGCGAAAATATGGACAAAGCATTATACCAGAAAGCTTATTTTTCAAAGGGGCTCAAGGGCTTTGTGAGCAGTTTAAATCTACAGTGTATGCAATGACTTCACACTGATGTGGTGTGTACAGTGAGTTACATGAACCCCATTATGAAGCTGTGCTTCCTACCATGCCCCATTTATGTGACTTTACTTGTTTCAAGTGGACTTTTTGTTTGTCAGGATAACAGTTTTTTAAAACCAAGTTATGTGCAGCAGGAATATTTGACAGCCCTTCCTTTGAGGATTCTATTCTACAGTTTAAGTCATTATTGCATAAATCATTCTTGGCAGCTGTGAAATATTACTTGAGGTGATAAAGCTGTAAATCTTTTGACATAAAACTCTAATTACACAAAATTATAATTACACTGAAGCTTTTATAAGGATGAGTATATATTTTTATAGCATTATACCCTTTTAAAAATAGTGATTAGGAAGCAACACTTTAATTCTTAACTAGTGTGTAGTTTTAGAGATTATGTTAATGGTATGAAACAAAATATAAGAGTAGTTGGTGATTTCTTCATTTACTGCTCATCAAGTTTAGATCTATCACAGAATGGAGTTAGCTGGTGGAAGTACATTTTGACAAGTGCTTTTGACCTTAGCTTTAAAAGCAATTCTACACATTCGGAATATGAAAGTAAATTTACCCAATCAAGTATACTCAGCCAGAAAGTATGGCTTCAGTGTATTAATTTTAGAAGCCAGGATATTTCTGTATTTTGTAATTGAACCTTCAGATACAGTATAATTGGGATTTTGTTAAATCACAAATGTACAGTAATACTTTCTTGATCATTGTGCAACTAAAAATACCCAGAAGGGGCTGAGAGAAGATGTTTCTTGATCTAGATAGGGTAGTCGTCATGCTTACATCGGTACACATCTCAGAGATACTGACTGGTTGATTCAACTGAGCACAAAAGAGGTCTTAGTTTGACAAACCAGAATCAACTCACTGAGTCACGGGGAAAGGCCTTATGGCACGTGTTGTGTTGTCAAGCGTAAAGGTAAAGATGCCTCTCAAGTGTTATCCCACTCCAGGGTAATGCACAGGAGGACTTGAGGAGCAAGGGGAGGAGGTTTGTGCTCTAGAGCTTCTCATGTTCATTTATAGCTTCTAAACATCAAGATAGACTCAAGTAATTATTTTTTAGAGAAATAAAATATATAAACAAGGAAATGAAGAAGCTTTCGTACAAATGGAAAGCTTTAGACCTTAAGGTCAGTTACCACTCTCTTTCCCAACTCTGAAATGAACTAATTTGTTACATGCCCTGCCACCTTTTATCATTTTCACTTAATAATGTTTTGAAGAAGAAAATTTAGCTTCATTAAAACTTTGATAGTTTAAAAAGATCTTATGGTAATAGCGTTATGTAAGAGATATGGTGAATAAAATGTTTAGCTCCCTTAATTCCTGGATTGTTACTGGATACAGATGGTGGTTTTTAGACTAGAACAGAAATTTATTTTATGTGTGTGTAATTGAAGCAATGAAAAAAATTTATAGAGAGTAGCTTGCCTAAAATTTGCTCTTGGTGTTCATTTTAGCTTTATATTTATACTTTTCACTGTTCTATCCAACAGAAGAGTCTAACAATAGTAATCCCAAAACTCTTGGGTAGTTTCTATACACTTAAAACTTCTAAGATCTTGTGGACCTTGTATGTTATATAGAATTTAAATTTGATCATTTGTATTTCTGGTTAAAAAAAAAAACTTCTTGAGGAACACTCCTCCTGACATTTTGTAAACTAGATTCCAATACTGTCTGGAGTGAAACCAAATGTTCTGTAACTGTAGGTGATCTCTGTTTATCAGTTCCTTTTACCACCTGCCACC